CTTACTGATGAAATTACAGCCCATCCAAAATGAAAAGATCCAATCACAAAATGGACAACCTAAATGAATAAACACTTCTCAGAAGTACAAAAAGCAATAAGTGCATCAAAAATGTCCAGCAAGTCTGGCTACTAGAGCAATGCAACTCCAAACAATGTGAAGATTCTGTCTCCCTCCAGGAGGAAGAGCATCCTCAAGACCTTGACCAACAACAAATGTTGCAGAAGTTGTGAGGGAAAAAATGAACCCTTGTGCAGTGCTGCAGGAATTTAAACTAGTACAACCGCTATGAAAATTCATATAGATAATCCTAAAAAAACAAAAAAAAAAATTCCACTGCACAAAGAGCTGTCTCTCTTATGGGTATCTTCCCAAAACAGTTAAAGATGTGGTATGATGTACAGAAATATGCATAAACATGCTTATAGCAGCATAAGTCTCAATAGCAGCATCATAGAAGCAGTTTATATGCCCATCAACAGATAAATGGATAAAGAAAATGTTGTACATGGACACAGTATACTTCTACTGTGCAGAAGACAGATAAATTTGAGACAGCTATAGGAAAAGGGATGCTGTAAGGAAAGTAAGCCAGACACAGGTCAATACTGTATGCTTTCACTCCTATGAGACATTCAAAGCATAAGTAATTTAGAGCCTGTTAGAGGATCCCAGAAGATGCTGCTGGACCTGAAGCCACTGTGCTTTCTGCAGCCTTCTCCTGGGGCCTCCACAAATCGCTCAAACAAGGCTTCCTGCTGAGGCTTTCATTCCCCAGTTGTTCCACTATATGGAAATCTTCACAGGCCACCTCCTACGCTAGAGGCTGAAATGATGCCAGGGACCAGGACAAAACAAACGAAGGACAATCAGCAGCAGAAGAGAGAGTAGTGTTTCACAGGTTGAAATACACAAGTAGAGGCTGGGGATGTAGCTCAGGGTCACAGCGCCTGCCTGGCCAGTGCAAGGTCGTGAGTTCAATTCCTGGTACCGGAAAAAAAACCAAAACAAAAAGAAATAGACAAGTAATTTTTAAATGCCTGTTTTCTTCTTTTAGGGCATTCAGATCAT